GTTTCCTGGCACATTGGCATCTTGAGGGGCACTTATGACAAGGCTGGTTTGAAATGAGTGACTATCAGGAATAGTGGCTTTTCTGCAAGTTTGAGTTAGGTAAGAGGTTGATGGTGTCTTAAAAGGGATAAGTACCCAGAATGCATTAAGTCCTTCTACTTCTCCCACCCTGTCTTGTTTGATTGAGTGTGTTTGTGTATGTGTGTGTGTGAATGAGTGTGTGTGTGTGTGTGCATATATGTACATGTGTTGGTATTTCTTCCAAAATGTAGTCAGATGCTGTGATGAGTTGACAGCAGCCTTCCGCTCTATTAATTAAATGTCTGCTAAAGCATCTGAAACAGATAGAAAGAGGTTCCTCTGTCTCATAATATTTTATTAGTTTATCTTCATCATAGTGGACAAGAAGTTCCAAACATAACTGTTTGCCACAGAGGTTGTGTTAGGGGGATATGAGTCCATTGCAATAAGTGAAGAAGCAGTATGTCTAATACTTTTTATACTGTTGTAAGATACACAGGGCAGCTGCCTTATTTGTAATGCTGGTAGGGATTAGGCTTCAGGCTCTCAGCTTGGTGAGGTGATGTGATTCCTTTCTTGGCTTGCTCAGATGTATGGGAGAATCATGACAACCGATAACCATAGATGATCTGCCTGTGGACCTGTGAAGCTTTGGGGACTCCTGTATGCAGAATTTCTTTTTCTTACTCTTGTCTAAAAAAACTCTAAGTTCATTTTGGGTAGGGATGGTGGTGGTACAGATTCTACAACTTCCTGTTTCTCAGATAATTTGATTTAAGACTAGGGGACAGTGGAAAGAATATTGGCCTTAGTGTCAGAAGACCTCACAGTCCTTTCACTACTTCTGTGATTGTGGGCCTCTATCCTTGTTTCTTTTCTCTTTTTCTAAAACATGTTTTTATTTTATTGTTTTATATTCCACAATTATCAAACAATATTTTCAAATATTATTAAAACTCTGAATCTCTTATATGCATCTAGAATTCTTTTAAGGCTGTAACAAATACAATATGTTAATTTCTAAATAAATAAATAAATAAAAAACTTCCTCGGCTAAAGTTTCCTCGGTTATAAATGAGGAATTTGGGCAGGGTGACTTCTAAAAATCTTTCTAGCCCTAACTCCATGGTTCTGTAAAATTCTCTTTTTAAATGTTCATTGTCCTCTCCTTTCAGTCATCTGGAGCAGCTCTTTTATAGGAATAAGTATATAGATTTTTGGAATTTATTTTCCAACTCCACTTTACTTAGTACTAGAATCCTATTCTAAATCTACTTAGAATTGTTCACATAAACAGTAGACAGAGCTGGAAGGGAGCTCAGCCCTACACCTCATTTTACAGTTGAGGAAACTGAGGCCTAGAGACATCATCCTGTCTGGAGTGATGCAGCCAGGAAGTGGCAGCACACATATTTAAAACTTAGGCCTCTGATTCCAAATTCAGCATCCTTCCCACAGTCCTTTCATCTCCTTTAATGCCTCTCCCCTCTTAACACAGTGCTTTGAAAATTCTTTTACATGGACATCTTTAAGATCACTGTGCCCTGGGACAGATTCTTTAAGAACATCTTCAGAGGCTCCCTTTCCACATCATGCAGGAGCTGCTGCTGTGGAAAAGACACTAGACAGACGACGGGAAAGAGACTGATCTGTCACGTGGATCATATGTGCCTCTGATTAGGAGACATAATCCGTTAAGTACCATTAAGTTACATCACCTTCTGAATTAAAAAGTGTAAAACTATGAATGAGCCATCAAATAGAAATGCCATAGAATTAAAAACCCTGCTTCTAGAACATCCTCAAGTAGATCAGTTATCTCTCTGCAGTTTTATTTTAAAAAGCCTTGGAAATAGTAGATGGACCGAAGTGTTCAGATGAAGTTGAGAGACAATCTGGTGTAATGGAAGGAATTTTGGGTTTTCAGTCACAAGAATTGGATTGAATCTATGTTCCCTGCATGTAATAGTTATGTGGCCCTGAACAAGTCACTTCATTGAACTCTCTGAGTATGAAGTTTCCTTCTTTATGAAATGGGCATGATAATCTTTTCATTACCTACATCATAGAATTATTTTGAAGAAAATACTCTCTACCTCTAGGCTTCTACTTTTAATCTGCTGCTGGGAACAGTAATGTGCAACTATAATTACCAGATAAATGTGTTATTGGGATTATTACCCAGTCCTCCTTTTTAACTTTTAGGTGTGTCCTCCATGCCTGGAATGCTTTCTCTCCTTATCTCTTCCTATTGTCTTCCCTGACTTCCTTCAAGTACCAACTAAATCCAATCTTGTACAAGATGCTTTTCCCAGTCCTTCTGAATTCTAATGCCCTCCCACTGTTAATTATTTCCTATTTATCCTTTATATAGCTTGCTTGTACATATTTATTTGCTTATTGTCTCCTCCTTTAGACTCTAAACACCTTCAGGGCAGGAACTATCTTTTGCCTCTTTCTGTATCCCCAGCACTTAACACACTATGTGCCTGGCACATAGTAGGTGTTTCATATTATTTTCTATTGACTGACTTTAAAAAATTGAGCACCAGCAAAAAAAAAAAACATCCTGAGTCTTGTAGGCCTAATTATCCCTGAACAGCAGAGGTATCACCAAGATCTTGACTATATTAACCTTCGTATTATTTGCAATAGGAGAAAAGTAGAAGGATAGTTTGAAGTTACAGAAGTTGGGAGCCCATCACACAGAAAACAAGAAATAAACATAATTACTTGTTGAAAGTGATTTTACGTAGAATTGCAGTCTGGTTAGGAACTATGCAAATATGTATATAGAACAGTCTTTTAATATCAACGGAAAAGAGAATGTAACCAATTCTAGGTCCTAGAATGTATCCTCTATTATTTCTCCCTTTGGTAACAAAGTTCCTGATTATTCAATTTATTTTTAAAAACATTTATTAAGTATCACTAAATTCAGGTCAATCAACAATATTATAAACATAACAATATAACAAAACCAACAATAAAAAAGTCCTATCCTTAAATGATTTTACATTTTAATAAAGTGTGTTGTCAAAACTCTCAAATACTCAAGTATTTGAGAGCTCATTGATGTGGGTATTTCCTCCACTTCATCAGGTGGAAATCCATTCATTCCTGTCCTTCCAATGAGACTCTTACCAAAAATGTATATCCCCAGATTTCATTTTGGGGGCCTTCTTCAATGGGTTCTTACATTTTAAGGATATTGGTGGAACATTCAGGCTTCCATTGTTTTATCATTTGCTCTTGCCTTGGGCAACCAACCCATTTTCTTCCATTGGTCCTTGCTTTGATCACATTTCAACATACAACAATTCTCCTTCATAGTGCCTTGATTATAATGTTCTGTGGTCTCTTACAGCCTACTCATATTCACCATTTACCCCTCCATGGCCCTTCAGGAGCTCTAAAACCTCAGTGTTAGAATTCATTCTCTTCTTACATGAAGTTATCTGTGTCAATCCTGGTGGCCAATGAAATTCTCCTCACGTTTTGCATACAGAGACAGAATGTTTCTCTTGATACTTCAGGCCCATTTCTAGGGATGCTTTACTCAGGAGTGAATGAGTGATAGGTGTCAGGAGATAGAATATCTTGTCTTCATCCTTAAAAGACATCTTTTTTTGATAAATAAACTGCCACAAAACATTGTAACATCCACATAGCTTTAGGAAATAGGAGAAAGTAAAACACATCCCCAAATTATTGGTCAATCATTCAGTGTTTATTGGAGTATCTACTATAATTCTAGGTACTATGGTGGATACAGAAACATACAATAGGGCCTCTGCCCTCATAGAGCTTCCAGGTTAGCTTAGTGAGCAGCAAATCATAGAAGATAGTACTTGATCAAGCACTAAATTTTGTAATATAGGGGATAAGAACTGTGGAAAGTCAGTGAGGAAAATCAATGAGAACTAGAGTTGTTAAGGAAGGCTTCATGGAGGAGGTGACTCTTGAAGAGACTTTGGAAGGCATGTTGTAATTTAAAAAAGCAGACAGATAAAGGGAAAGGTGGAGAGGTCATTTTAGAAAAAGGGAACAACTTGAAGAAACACTTTAAGATAGGAAGAAACACTTTAAGATAGTAATAAACATGGTCTGTTGGTGGGGCAAGGCAACAGAGTGGCCTTACTATATATATGGTAAAAGACATATATTAAGGAGTAGTAGAAAGTAAGGTTGTGAATAAGAAATATGGCATCTCTTTGGAGGACTTTGAAAACCAGACACAAGAGAGCAAGGGAATGACATGATGAAAATAGTATTTGAAAATTGATCTTCTCTGCATAGAACAAAACATGTTGGAAAAAAGGAGAGTCAAGAAATAAAAGGAAACATTTCAGGAAAACTAGATTCAAACCCCAGCTCTGCTACCAACTGTGAGTTGATTAAAGTTGCTTAACTTTTCTAGGCCTCAGTTTCCTTGTCTGTAAAATGATTTTTTTCCAACCATAGCAACTCATAAAGGCTGTTTATTCTAAGACTTTTACCACATATGATTTGCTTCAATGGAGGGAGTGGTCACATTGATGAAAGTAGTAAGGAAAGTTAACAAATTTGGAATTAATAAGACTCTACATTTGCGTAGAGTTCTTTTACTGAGTTCACAAAGCATCTTCTAATACATTGTTTCATTAAAGCCTCACTGTAACCCTAATAGAGATAGTGCAGATATCCCCATTTTGCACAGAGATGAAGAAACTAAGCCTTAGATAAATTAAGTGATTTATCCAAGGTCTCATTCTTCGTAAATAGCTGAACTGGAGCAAGAGCCAAAGTCAATATTCTTCCCATATGAAGCCAATGTTAAACTGGGGTTTTTCCCCCCCTGCTTCTTGTATCATACAAGTCTGCTATGTTTTACTCGGTTGCTATATTCTGTTGCTGTACATAGATTTAAGTCATTGACAGATATTGAGCTTTGGGATTTGATGGCTGCATATCTTCTAATCTACCTTTCTTTTTTGCAGGTAGAAGCCTCTTGGCCAACTGAGCTGGAAGGTGGATTTTTTTTCTTTTTTTTTTTCTTTTTTCAAAAAAACGAAAGTATGTGCCCGTGTCTGTAGAGATGATTTGTAGTTCAGCGAGGCTGGAGCTGACCGAATGAGACTATGGGCTGTGCCTCTGCCAAGCATGTTGCCACTGTTCAGAATGAAGAGGAAGCCCAGAAGGGGAAAAACTACCAGAATGGAGATGTGTTTGCTGGTGAGTCTTCAGAATGTTGCTTTTAAATCTCTTGGGGCAAAGACAGAAATTCTGTTTGTTTCTTCATAGTGGTTCTAGAGGTAGTGAGATGATGAGTCTGGTAGTTATTAATAATATCAAATGTGTGATGTGGCTTTGGGGAAGGGTTACAGTAAGGCAGGGTGTGTGGGATCAGTGGATCTATCTGTGGCCAGAGAATATTCGGGTCATTGAGCTTGTGTGAATTCCTTAATCAATGTATAATAAACTTTTTCCAGGTGTGGTTGTGGACTGAGATATACCAGTCATGCAGATATTTTAGAGATAGTAGAGAGTTATCATCTATACTCTGAATCAGTGGATGAGAGTGAACAAGAGTGATTTTTATGGTTTACAAAGCATACCTTCACATATAGAGTCTTCTCATTAATTTCACACAATAGTCCTTTGAGGAACAAAGATTGGAAATGTTCTACTTGGTCCCATAGGGTAGAACTGGGTGAAAGACTTTGAAGTTGCAGAAAAGCTGAGTTAGGCTTGTAGCTGGAAAAGGCTTCCTAACCGTCAGAGCTGTCCCAAATGGAATGGATTGCTTCAGGAGAGAATAGATTCCCCCATTACTGGAGGTCTTTAAGCAAAGGTTAGAAGTGCAGTGGTCATGTTGTCCTACTAGTACTGGATGAACTAAGTGACCACTAAGGGAAGTAGGTTCCTTTGGATTCAGATCCTAAAATTCTGGATAGAATAGATATTATTATGCCCATTTTGCAGGTGAAGAAGATAAGGCTTAGATCACCCAGAGAGTCAGGAGCGGGTCTGGTGTTAGACCTAACTCCTATTTTTAGAAATACACAAGGTAAACATGGATTGGTACCTTCTAAAAATAGTAGTCTAGTCAGGTATGGTAGTGCACACTTAGTCCTTGCTCTGGGGACACTGAGGCTGGTAGATCTCTTAAGTTTGGGGGTTTTGAGCTGTAGTAGGGCTAAAGCCAATCAAGGTTCACTTTAGTCCAGCACAAATATTGTGAAACTCTTAGGAGAGCAGAACCATTAGGCTTCCTAAAATAAACCAGGTCAGAAAAAGGAAGCAGGTGAAGTTTCCTGTGCCAATCAGCATCAGGACTGGGCCCGTGAATGGCTACTGCGCTTCTAGGCTGGGTGAAATAGAGAGACCCAGGCTCAACTGAAAACTGAAAGTGTAATAAAATACGCTTGACACTAAAATGACTCAATACATGTCAATCTTTTTACTATAATTTAGAGGCACTTCAGGATCATGCAGGGTTTCCAAGTCATCATTACCTGAGTTATCATGACTCTCATGAAGCAGCATTGGAGGGTGTTGAAGATGGCATTCTGTTTGACAGCAACCCATTTTTATTGCACTATTTAACTAATGGTGTTACCAGCTGACATTTGTATAAAATTGTTACCTTACAGAAGCTCTCCCCTGCATCTTTCTTTTGATGAGGGCTCTGCTTGAGATCAGATGTTTCTGTTAACGAGCTGTCTCATTTGACTGGAGTGGCGAACACTCAGTCATCCTAAAATAGCTTCACTATTTTTAGAACCACCAAGCTTTTGTTCCAGTGTGGTGGCTGGGGCACTTGTTTTGTATGGAGTGGGGTCTGCCATGCTGTTGTTGGGAGAACTGAGGGGACTCTAAAATCAGGAAGGGAGAGCCTCCATATATACTTGAATTGGAAGAGGATATCTGTTGCTGGGAATAAAGCCATTTCCACTGGCCGCCATAAGTAAGAATTTAGTGTCATCCTAAGAGTAATGAAATAACACATTAATGAACTAGAACATAATTAATGGAACTTTTAATTAACTTGAATCACCCCAACAACAATAATACTATCAATTAACAAGTATGTTTTAGTTATCTACTGTGTGAACAAAGGCAAATGGAACAGTTCCCTCCCTCAAGGAATTTGCATTCTTTGGGGAAGAAAACATGCATGTAAATAAATATATACACAATACATATAAATTTAAGATGAGGAACTAGGGAGATCAGAAAGAATAAGTTATATTCATAGATATTTAGTCTAACCCCCCTCTTTTTATGTATGAGAAAATTGAGACCCAGAAAAGTTAAAGGATTTGCCTAAAATCACATGTGATTCTTCAAGCTGGGATTTGAACCTAGACCTCTCATTCCAAATTCAGCACTTTTTCTACTATAAGGCAAAGCCCCCTAGATTGTATTAAGGTTTGAAAAATAGTTTAGACAGTTTTTTTTTAATGTAAGAGTTATAGCAAAAAGTGATTTCTGCTAAACTTTCAGTTATCTGGGAAATTTATTTTACCCATGTCTCTTTCATTCTAAGTAATCATGATTTTACTGTTGTGGAAGCATATTTAACATTAACCCTTTACCTCTTCAGGCTACATATTACAAAATAACAAGACTTACCACCTTTCTTTAACTATCAATTCAGAAACCACCTATCCTATACTGACATCTTTACATATCATTCTTTCGAAGGTCTAATTAGTTTCCAAAGAGAGAAGCCTATTAGACCCAGGAAGTAATGATTAGATTAAGAAACAGAAGATGTCGTTTGTTAATTCAATTAATAAAACTATTTCTTGAGTTCATCTTTGACCAGGTTGAAAGAAGAATCCTTAGAGTAAGTAGTTGAAGAGGAATTGAAATTTTATTTTTTTAGGAAAACGATTCTATCAGGTTCCCCAAAAGTTGTGATTATTGTTTTATTTGAATCAAAACTATTGCCTAGATTTTGTTCACGTTTGATTTTGTGCTGTATTTGAGTTTGACATCACTGATATGCAGCAAGGAGAAGACTAATTCTGATGTGTGAGCAGTGATGTGGGTAATGACCATTTATGTGACAACAGGTACTGCGCGTCATAAATTATCTTTAAATATCTGACCCAATCTTAGTTATGAACTTTATTTACCAATCTTAAAGTTACATTATTGTGCTAATCAGGGAGCTTATTTTAAAAAATCCCAGTAACTCTTCCTCAAAATTCATATTCCTGTTAATTAAAAAAAAAATCACCTATGTGATTGTGGAAGAGGGATTAAAAAAAAGCAGAAATAAAAAGTTGGAAGAGAGCCACAACCAGTCAAGACAACACTAAAACTTGATAATCCAGTTGGAATTGAGAGTCAGCAGTTACTCTGAGGGTTATTTTGAGGATTAAAATGCAACCTTGTGAACCTTAAAGTATTATGCATGTTCCATCATCTTCATTTGTTTGATTGTGATCTAGGGAGGAGAGTGGCATTAACTTCCCCCCAGCTAATTTATAAGGACAAGAGGGTTACTGCCCACTTCTGAATAAGGAATAGCTAGTTGGACCAGTGGTGTACTGGGATCACTTAGAGCTATTTGACATTACTCCGTGACTTACCCCTGTGTTCTAGAACTGTTACCTACTTAATCCTTTTGCACTGTACTTTTCCTAAACTGCCCCAAGAGTTTTGGTTGAGTGAAGCAACCTTGTTAACTTTTCAAACTGCTGGGTTTTGTTTTCATGTGTTGCCAAAGACTTGACAGATCCATGAAATGTGACATATTGGGCAATGGCCCTAAAGTGTGTATCTGTTTATGTGAGTGAATGTTTTCTCGCACAGTCATGCTTAACCATTATAGTGCCACTCCTCTGAAAAATGTTCATTTCATTTTATTCCTTCTAAAGCCATATGGGGGGTGGGAGGAGGGAGAAACAGTGGAGATTAATAAAGTAACTGGTTTTTTTAATATAGTAATTTCCATTGATACAAAACAGTTTAGTCTCAGTGATGTTAAGTAGCCTGATAGTACCAAATGTGTGTGATTTATGTGTGTACATATATATGTGTGTATATACACACACACATACATATATGTGTATATATACATAAATAAGATGGAACAGATTTCTGAAGATGGTTTTTCCTTGGGGAGTAATAGAAAGTTTAAAAAAAGCAAACTAGCATTTTGACTTTTGGAAGTTTAGGGAAGTGTTGACTTTATTTCCATGGAGTTTATTTTTAGTGTTGGTATATGTGTGTGTGTGTGTGTGTGTGTGTGTGTGTGTGTGTGTTTCTTGACATTGCAGTCAAAAGGCAATACCAAGGTGAGAGTGAGCAGGAGTGTCCAAAGGTGAGCAGGAGGGTGTCTAGTCAGCATAAAAGGATGCAAGTCTATGAGATGGTGTCAGGGATCCTGGGGTCCTGCTGACGGGAATCAGACCTACATCTGAAAGCTTCATTTCCAAATTTAGAATTTCCCTTCATCAATAGTTAATGTAGACTTGAAAAATGGTCAGCAGATCTATTGAGGTCATTAAGGAGACTTCTGGGTATGCTACCAAGGCTGGATTTTAGAGGCATGAACCCAGGATGGTGCTAAGGGGAGCTTAGGGACACATCATGTCATATTCATTCAAGCAGCTTTTCTTAAGTGTCTAACAATGTGCATAGAAATTATCTAGACATTACAAGAGATACACCCTATAGAAAGTACCCCTACAGATTTCTGTTTGCTTCCAAATGGACAAATGTAATGCTTTCCCCGCCTCAGTCTTTCTTTTTCTTGACCTACTTTCTCCCCTTCACTGTCCCCTTTCTTTGTTTCCTGACTCTCCTCCTTCATTCCTACCTTCACTCTCCTACTTCTCTTCTTTCCTTTATCTTTTCTTTCCTCTTTCTCTGTTCTCCTTCTTTTTTGCCCTTTCTCCATTTTGTCCTGCCCATATTCTTGCTTTCTTTGTCAGGTTTTTTTATTCAGTACCAACTGTCTGTAACTATGCTATCAGTGGGGCAGCTGGGTGGTGCAGTGGATAGAGTGCTGGGCCTGAGGTCAGGAAGACTCATCTTTGTGAGTTCAAATCTGGCCTCAGATACTTACTAGCTGTGTGAGCTTGGGCAAGTCACTTTAACCCTGTTTGCCTTAGTTCCATATCTGTAAAATGAGCTGGAGAAGGAAATGGCAAACCACTCCAGGATCTTTGCCAAGAAGACCCCAAATGGGGTCACAAAGAGTCAGACATGACTAA